CTGTGCTGGACTCTCTCAAGCAGTTCCCTGACTTTCTTGAACTGAGGGGCCCAGAACTGGACACAAGATTCCAGATGCAGCCTCATCAGGACAGAGTAGAGGGGCAGGAGAACCTCTCTTGACCTACTAGCTTCTCCCCTTCTAATACACCTCAGGATGCCATTGGCCTTCTTGGCCACGAGGGCACATTGCTGGCTCATGGACATCCTGCTGTCCGCCAGGACCTCCAGGTCCCTTTCCCCTATGCTGCTCTCCAACAGGTCAGTCCTCAACCTGTACTGGTACTTGAGGTTGTTCTTTCCCAGGTGCAAGGCTACACTTGCCCTTGTTGTATTTCATAAAATTTCTCCTCGCCCAACTCTCCAGCCTGTCCGGGTCTTGCTGAATGGCAGCACAGCCTTCTGGTGTGTCAGCCACCCAGTTTGGTGTCATCAGCAAACTTGCTGACAGTGCCCTCTGTTCCCTCATCCAGGTAGGTCACTGATGAATATATTTAACAGTACCGGTCCCAGTATTGATCCCTGAGGGACTCCACTAGATACAGGCCTCCAGCTAGACGCTGTCCCATTCACCAAAACTCTCTGACTTCTTTACTTCAACCAGTTCACAACGCAATCGTTCATGCTCCGCACGGGTCTCTGCAGATGTGCCAGCACAGAACAGGGCGCAGAGCACTAAACAACGCAGCTTTAGAAACAATACAAGTGGGAATCCATTGAAGAAAAAAATCTGCAGGGCTTTCACAACAGTAAAGGACCAAATGCTCAGACAACAGCCAGTCTGCTCCATTTGGTCTGGTGTGTCTCTCTCCACTTGCCTGTCCATCATTTCCATCCTAAGATAAGCTCTGTAATGAGAATACTTGATGTCCAATCATGTCTCACTTGTTATCCTTGTCATCTGAAATTACATCTATCTCTTCAAGACAAACAAATTGCTGCAGAACAGAAAGGCCATGGGTGGCCAGAGTATGAATGGCAAGGGTATATTCTTCCTAAAACTTACAAGGTATATTGAGGTTTTAAGAGAGACCTGCCAAGCTGAAATTTCTCTATCCATCATTCTAGAGAGCCAGAGAGATCTAGATCTATTTTGTAGAATCCAGAGTTAAAAAAAGCTCCACTGTGGTCATTGTGGGCACAAGATAGACTGTGCTGGGAGCAAAGAGAGACAATGGGGTGGCCCAAGACAGGGATGCCCAGTTCAGACCAGTGCCTCACCTCTGCAAGTTGCAGGGCACACTTTCCTTCACCAGCCATCCTCGCTGGTCAGGTATATGTGTAGATATCATCTTCTCCATTTGGGGTCAGCAGTATCGCTGGTTACTCAGGTTTCCCTAATTTTTGCACAGCAGGGAGGCACGCACTTCTACTGGACGAAGCTGTGAAGATGCCCCATCTCCCACTGCCTGCAGGCTGGTGCTGCAGCAAGGCTAAGAGCAGCAGAGTGCAGGTTTTCTGGGGATGGTGCCTCTCCACAGGGGCACTGGGCCTGGAGTCTGCTGGAATCCTGGACTCCAGATTCAGTAGCTTCCTATGTGAGCCTGCTAGTGAGGGGCTAATTAATGCTCTCTGGAGGCACTCTCCAGATGGAAGGGGAAAGTGAGAGACAGGCAGCCAGACAGGTCAACACTTCAGACATCTGAGCCAGTTGGGCTCCATGGGCAGAGCATTCCACCTGCTGCTTTCCCCAGCGAGTCTCGCTTGCCCTGCAGCGTCACGCCAGGAGAACCTGAGACAGCGAAGCTCTGGTGTCCGTGCAGTTCCCTCATTGCAGTGCATTGATCGGAGCTCTCTTAGAGAAAGTGGCCTGGATATCTGAGACACCTATTGATTGCTCCACTGGCTCTCTTCCTGCCCTGATCCTCATTCACTCAGCACTGCCTGAATAACCCGCACTTCTGCACTAGGGGCAGTCTCCCCGGATCTTAAAGGGCTACATTCACAGCTGGTCACCTAGCTGCAGCCCATCTAGAGAGGAGAGAAGATGCCTGGTGACCCTCATATGCACTCCCCAAGGGGAGGGCCTAAGTTTCTCGTGCAGCATCAAGCTGAGCATTTCAAGCGTAAGGCAGAAGCCTGAACTCATGGTTATATGGTTTTGCTATCTTTGAGTACTGGTGCCTTCTGCCTGAAGAACAGGCTCACATCACATGCCCAAGGGGCAGGACGTGGTATGCATATCATGGATGACAACACTAAGCAGAAAAATCTTTCCTCCCTTAATGAGAAGAAATCATGAAGCTCTTAATTAAGTACCAATGGAATATCATACTCTTCAGACAAAGGACAGGTTCTTTACGCAGAAATGTCCCCACTAAGTTACTAGCCCAGTGCCAAGGACTAGACCATTTTTCTCCAAACTCCAGGTAATCAAGCAGGAGAAAGAACCTGGCTCAGCAACCTTCTGCTATGAATGAACCCAAGGAAGAAGAGAGTTACACCAATGCAAAGTAGGAAGGGGAACTATTGAAAGGAAAAAAATCATAGCTCAAGTATCCAAGATATATCTTGTCCTAGTAAGTACTTAGAGACTGCAGAATAGACTCTGGGAAAGCCAAGACATTAGAGATTTTTAAAAACAGTTAAACTACTAGAAATGTACAGCTTGGAACACTCTTGCCTCGGCAGTGAAAAAGGGATGGATGAGTAAATAGGATGACAGATCAGAGATGGAAAAGACCAACGAACCCTTTCTAATCCAAAATCCCATGTCAATTCTGTATTTTTGAGCAAGTGAAACAATTATGGATTTGTTCTTTCCAGAATCTCCTGGCTCTGTGGAGATCAAAGACTGTAAAACCATTTTTCTCCCTTTCTAGATTTTGCTTTTAAAGATGTGTATTGATTGAATTCTGTATATTAATACTTTGTACTCCCACCAGGCTTCACATAAACTTAACTAACTGGTCCTCACAGTCTTTTTAGAAAGCAAAGCAGCATGACTCTTATTTCTCAGCTTGGGAAACTGAGTAAAAGAAAGAGAAAAAACAATGCCGGCCAACATCACTTAACCACGCTGTGTTAGGACACAGAAGTCCTATTTGCAGATTGCTAGTGTAGTCTCCTCTGCTCCTCTTGATACTGTCATGTGTTCTTGCATCTCACTACTATCAATGAATCTTTATACTGTATATTCCACAGCACTAAATATTATGGGCAGGATCACAGATACACTAACATCAATACCAAACCATCCTTTCCCCGTGACTTTAATGATGCTGAATCAATCTCTATATGAATAACTAAATACACTTTGGCACAAAAGCAGCCTTAGAGCCAAATTTCAGTTTGCTATGAGTAGTATCCCACAGGGTTCAGGAGTTCAGGCACAACACGGTATGAGCGAACCTTCACTGCTTTCCAGCTTAACTGGAAGAAGTTAACTGTTTTCACACAACTTGGAGGCTAGGCCACAAAACCCTTCACAGGACCCTTCACAGGACTCTGTCAAACTCAGAGAATTGGTAGCGGACGATGCCCTGGCCCTACAGACATGGCAGCACTGACTCCCGTGACTCTGCTCCCCCGGCAGCCAGCTCCACGAGGCTCAACTGCTTGGACACAGGGCAGCACGGGCACAGGCAGTCAGCAATCCTGGACCCAAGCTGCTGCTCCGTAGGGTGACCAAAGCCACACCAGGTTTTTAAGGTTGTTTTATGGGATTCACATGAGCAGGCTAGAGCACATTACCAATCTGTGCTCCCACTAAAGTGTCACTTGTGTGGATAGGCATGCAGTTAAGGAGATATATCCCCTCCCTGAACTACAACGTGCAGAGAATCAGGGTTCCAGCGGTCCCTCTCCAACCTCAGAAGTAGAAGTAGGTGCCTCCCTCCCAGCACTGGATCAAGCTCCTCTGAGTCTATCACCTCTACGTCTAGGTCAGGGAGGGCCAGACTACACGAGCCAAGTCTGTATCTCTTCCCCTTGGTAACTGGTGTGCTCTAGCAGGAAGATATCTAACCACAGAAACCACACATCCATCAAAAAACAGAACAGGTTTTAAGACCTATTCTTAACAACAATGGCTGCCATCAACTTGCCTCTCAGGAAATGAGAGCACCCTAGGGCAAAGCAGTACATGCTCTCCTGACATTGTACAACTCATCACCAGCTGCTATGATGGTACAATCCGGAAGTAAGCTGCATGCTGGCACCTTGGCTCCAGCATACAGGACTTGAGCAGACCACAGCCTCAGTGTTAAATGAGGGGACCATGCTCTGCCAGGTACAGCAATGCAGAGCGTTACATGTAACACTTCATTCTTCCCCCTCCTCCCCTCACTGCCTCTCCCAGAGGGACCCAAGGGAAACAAAGCTTTAAAGTCAATCCATAAGAATGTGTTTAATTGCCACTCAATTCCTTGTCGTTCACCTTGAATGGACAAGGATTGGGGATGGGGGTTGGGGGAGGGGAAGCAGCACAAGAGAGAAGCTGAACACTGCTCAGAGAGCGCTGAACAGATCAATAGGATGAGAAAAATGCAGGTTGAGCATGCAGAGCAGGGGACCCACAGCACCCAGACAAACCTGTGGTACCCACCATCTTCAGAAATTCTCGAGTGGGAATATGGGCAGACCTTCACTGCACACTGTACTATAGCTCTGCATTAGCTTCACCCCTTCTTTATGAAGCGCAGCCAACCCAGTCATGGTCATGCAAAAGCCTCTCCTCCCCAACACTGCAAAGTGACCTGGGAGGCAAGAGCAACATGCTCCAGCCTGGAGCTCCTTTGGGAAAGGAAACCATCTGGCAAAGCCAGTTTCCAGCTATCTGTCAAATTTGCAAGTGCTGCAAGTAATATCCTAGCATGAGGGTGCTGACTAGAACTACTCCACTCTCTGAACTGTCCTCTTGATCACTGCCCATCCTGACTCTTCTACAAAGCCTGTAAAAAGATACCTTTGAGAAAGCCAGAGAGGGCAAGGAGATCCTGTAAGGCCTGGAGTCCCAGGTGCTGTTGGACAGAGAACAATTCCCAATCTGACTCTTCTTACCTTCTTTTAGCATCCCCACTTTGAGGCATTTCATGAAGCGACAGGCCTGACACGACTTGCGCCTCCGTTTCGTGATCTCACATTCATTGGTGGCCGGGCAGCTGTATTCAATATTTCCTGCAATCAAACACAGAGATGGTCACCCAGGAACCACGTTCTCCCCACAGACCCAGGGATGGGGCTGTAGTGGCCAGATATTCCCAACACCATCAGTCTGTATATCTGCTCACTCATTTGCATGTATGCACACACACACTCTGAGACCGCAGCAGGCTCATAATGGCTCTTAGCAAGCCCAGTATTACTTACTAGAACACATTTTAGAACAAAAAAGCAGTATTGCTCTAAGTCTTGGGAGAAATTTGTCCCTGCAAGGGGCTGACTGCGATGCTGGACTTTCGGGCACAATGCGTCCTCCAGACACGTCATCTTCCCTTGTGCTGCATCCCTCATAACCTGGCCTGTTCCCTGAAGTCCAGGGCTGAGAGCGGGAGCAGCTCAGACATGAGCAGCATTTCCTTTGCTGCCAGTCTTGCTCCATGTCTGTGGGGAGGGATGTCTATCCTTTCTTGCCTTGCTTGGGAAACCAGGGAGCTCAGAAATGGCATTTCCTCCTTTGCTTCCTCCTGTCAGCTACAGGT